AGAGTTGTATGAAGAAGGATTTTTAGTGTAAACTTGGAACAAAACAATGGAAGCTTACCAAGTTTGTGGAGCTTGAAGAACACTTCTTTGAAACCACACACTCACACTCACGGATTCTTGGAGGAAAACATGAGAAATTTTCTTGAATGTTTGAGAGGAAGTATGTTGCAAATGAAATGGTGAATGGAGGTGGGAGGATTGGCCGAATTTAGAGGAGAGAGGAGGGAAGGGATGGGGCATGGAAACATGGTGGATAAAAACTCTTTCCCTAGATACATATAAGATGTTACATTGTTATATGTTGTATATTATTGAGGTGTCATCTTTATGCATTTTATTTCTTTTTTTTTAACTTATACCCGAATAAGAGAGGTTCTCGGCCCACATGTTTACCCAAAATGAATGGCGGGCTTCAAACTTGACTTGGCCTAAGGAGTTTTCGGCCCACTAATGTTCTAGGAAGGGTATTGGCCCAATTAAGGGGTTTTCGGTTCAAGGGGCCCAAAAATGAGGGTTCTCGGCCCAACTAAAGCCCAAGTATAGGTTTTCGGCCCATATAAAGGCTAACTAGAAGCTTTTGGCCCAAAAGGCCCATTAGAGGAGTTTTCGGCCCAATATGATCAACAGGAGAAGTTATCGGCCCAATAGGGCCCAATAAAGAAGTCTTGATCCAATAAGGGTTTTGGGTCGAGGATTTTTGGGCTAAGGCCCAAAATAGATCGGACTTGGCTTATTTGATCGAGTTTTGGGCTTATACATGGTTGTTTTGACTTGAATGATATCGTGTGAACGTATGAACTTAAATAGCATCGTAGTTTGAATTTCACTAAATGGGGTGTTGCAAGTTTGCATGGAGGAAATTGTTGCGTTCCAGGATCAAAATCTTAACCCTAATTTGCTAGTTGTGACAGTAAATTAAAGTCTCGATTATGGTTTATGACCTAATTATTAATTAAGGTTTTATTTGATTGGTTAGTGTGGGGATTCTCCTGTTCAGTAGCTCGAGCATCTACTTGTTTTGCAGCGGATCGAAGTGAGTTTACTCACTATATTGTAGGACACTAGGGATTGAATGTGTTTGTAGTCTTTGTGACTCCTGATGTATGCATGTATACCTGTGTGCCTGTTTGCTATATGTATGTAGGGTGAAATAGACTCGGGGGTGAAATAGCCCCGCACGGTTGAAAAATACTGATTGAGTTTAAATAGACTCGGGGGTGAAATAGACTCGGTACAGCCTTGTGCTGACATATGAGTTGAAATAGAGACTCGGGGGTGAAATAGACCCGGTACAGCCTTGAGCTAACGTATATGTATGGTATGCGGTATTTTGGGGAACTCACTAAGCTTTGTGTTTACGGTTTTTAGTTTATGTTTCAGGTACTTCCGGTTCGAAGGGGAATAGCTCGAGATGATCGCAATGCACACACCATGATTTTCCGGTTTACTTGAATCTAATGTATTTTTGGATGATTGTTGATATACTCTGATTTCCTTTACGGTTTCTGTGAACAATGTTTGGTTGATGGTTTTATTATTACAAAAAACAAAATTTTTTGTTCTAATTTTTGGGATGTTACACCCAGACATGGGCCTCCACGGTATACATATACTTTTCCCACCAAGATGGTTCTCTATCTAAGAGAAACTATCTCCTCATACACATCGATCTAACTTGACTATCGGATTCTGCTCCAAGGGCATAGGGATGAGACGGTTCTAATAATTTTGTTTTCTAATGACAGTTAGGAATCAAGTCAGGAACCCGCTAATGGTACCTACTCCAGATCTGACACCAAGACCCATTAACCTGATTCCATGTCACCTCAGTGGGTCTTAGGACTATTTTCACTTAGCATAAAGATGATAATATTACCAAAATAGGTAAGAAACCTTGGTTTATGTCCACATTTTGGTAAAAGTAAATTTTTCGTACAAATTTGACCAGTAAACTTGGTTAACATGTTCATAATAGGGTAATATTAACGTTAATTACCAGTCATGTTGCCCTATTTTGAATAGGTCAAACATGTACGAAAAAAACATGGTTACCTAAATGTGGATGAAAACCAAAGTTCGTTACCCTCCCATGTCATTAACTTAAAAAAAAACTTCAAAACAAATTTAATATTGGTCTTATTTTAAACGTATTAGTTAGCTCTACATAATATATATATATATATATATATATATATATATATATATATATATATATATATATATATATATATATATATATATATATATATAAAAGACGGTTCATTTGAGATTTTAAAAGAAAAAGAGATCTTGAGATTCAACCTCAGCCACATATTTCTCATTTGTCGCTCTAACACTCCACTGTACCGACGTTAGCAGGGTATGCCTAATCATAAATGATTATATGGCAAAGAGGTATAATCATATATGATTATACATGTTTATACATATATGCCTACTTATAAATGATTATTCATATATGTCTTCACAGATTGAGTAATCATATATGATTATGGTGGTTGGTGGCAAAGGTGACAATGGGATAGATGATGGAGGTGGCAGTGATGGAGTCGGTTGGTGGCAGAGATGGTGGTAGTGGTGGTTGTTATGGTGGTGGGGGAAAAAGGATTGGATGACGCGATGACGCTGATTAATCATTTATGATTATAACTATCCCGCCGCGCAGGTACGCCGGAGCGTTATAGCGACAAATGAGAAATATGTGGCTGAGGTTGAATCTTAAAATCTCTATTTTTTCAGAATCTCAACTGAACCTACTTTTCTATTTATATACTTTCTTTTTTCTTATTTTTTTTTAAAACATACATAGTAAAAGTTGAATATTATATTGCTGCTGTTAAAAAAAAAGTTGAATATTATATATATATATATATATATATATATATATATATATATATATATATATATATATATATATATAAAAGACTAGGTTATAATGTGGATGTACAACTATTGTACGGACATGTGGACAATGCTATTCTATGAGAATTACTAAGAGAATAAGTTGTTTAGTAATGCGAAGACGTTCGACCTCACACAAATATCGTCATTTTCATGCATTTTCACTAATTCTTATTCATTTTTGTTCGAACACATCGTTTTTCACTTATTTTCATTTTTACAGAATACGACTCAGTAAACATTCTGACAACATTTTGACAGAATGAGAATAATAGTAATAAAAAGCCTATAATAACCTTATATACGATTTAATTAGTGAGAATGTGTGATAATGACAATAGTTATGTAAGATTGAACGTATTCATATTATCAAAGAACATATTTTCTTTGCTATTCTCACAGAATAGCATTGTTCACACGTCCGCACAATAGATGTCAATCCACATTTGAACTTAGCTAGTTCTCTCTCTCTCTGTGTATATATATATATATATATATATATATATATATATATATATATAATTCAACGTTTATTATGTAGTTTTAAAAAAATTATAAGAAAAAACAAGGTATATAAAGTGAAGCGTAAAATTTGAAACGGTGAAATGTTTGGAAGCTTCAAGATATTGAACCTCTTCATATCATGTTGCAATGTTGTAACAAAAACCTACCATTTCAAGAAATTTTTGGATCTCTTTTTTAAAACCCATAGTGGATGCGCTAAGCGAATAAATAAATAAAGAATAAGAAGGGCATACACTGCAACAAGATTCATGCAAAAGTGTTAAAAACATCCTTCTTTGAAAATCTTGTTGCTGTGGCCTTGGTATTTTTTTATTTTGTGATTCGCACGTCCCTTAGCTTTTTGTGAATCACGTTTCTTCCTTTTTGTTTAAACCCTATCTAGCAGTTTTGTATAACTGAGAGACCTTTGATTAATTATTCATCCTCACCTTTATTTGTTTATTCTTCCTTCTTACAAAATAAAACAGTTATACGACTTTTGTCAACTTCACTGTATTATAGCTAGCCTTTTGTGAATAACATGTTCAGCTTTAACATATTCTAGAGGATGAAACATCTAACCCAAGATTTTAAATTGAATCTACGGGATGCATATAATAAATTTTATATGACTTGTATCATAAAAGGTTTTAGCCATTCAGAATTATTCAATTACACATACCAGAATTCCATGGGCAAATTAAAATGAGTCGGAATAACAATGCATCATTTCATCTCATCTTATATTGTAGTGACAAAAGGAATTTTGTTTGACCACACGGTACCAGGCAAAGTCGGCATTAATTTGCTGGTTTTATAGCATGCATTTGTATATTGTACGAATAAAGTTTTTGTTCTAAATTTTATGAAAAATTTTCTTGGTCTAAAACGTCCACGCACTCATACTTCCTTTAGTCTCCATTTAAGGGTACTAGTAGTAGGGGGTGTATATGCTTACGGTTATTGGCCAAGAGTATTGTGGATGCCGATGCAACCTTATTAAAGAATCCATTACTAGTTCATTGGGAAAAGTTATTTATTTAATATAAAATGATTAAAAATGGGGTTGCCTAAAAAGACACTCATTTTTACCATTTAGACAACCCTAATTAATTTTGAAGTATTTTTATTGGTTGAAATTGTATTGTTTTTCGAAAAAACTGATTACAAGTAGTTTATTATAAGTTGACTTTTTATAAAAATGATGAGAGGGTGTCTAAGAATAGTCTTATTAGCAGCACCCAATTGATGAAACAAATTTATTATATTCTATTGACTTAAAATGGGTGTCTAAGGGGTGATTTCACTTTAAAAAAATTATATTCTATTGAATTTATATAGAATTCTATGCCTTAATTGATGAAACAAAAATAATAAAGTTGTATAAAAAGTGCAAGGATATTAATATAACGATTCATTATGGATTTCCTAGACTCAAAATCTTCTGTTTATCAACATTTGGTATCTTATGAATCTTATTCAATAAGTAGTTTGTGATTCTATATTTCTATACTTTGAAAAACTCTGGAAGACATCATTTTTTGAAAGGTTGGAAGATTATCATACAAGTTTAGAATTATTCACAAACTATACAAGTGCTTTCTAACTATGTCTAGGTTCCTAATAACAAATGTGTCTATAAATATATGCACTAGGCTTTACAAGGTCTTGATAAACAAAACTCAAACAAACACACTCTCTCTCTCTCCCCATGGATACCGAAGACATGAAGATTAATTCCCAGTTGTATGAAGCTCTGATGCAGAAGGACGACGACAAAGTGCTCGACATATGTGCAAGCATTCCCAAGGGTCCATTGCATACAGTTACAATACATGAAGATACCGTCATCCATATTGCCACTTACCACAAGAAAAACGATCTTGTGCTTCAGCTCCTGAACATGGTGCCTTTGTGCGATTCTCACAAACTCACTTGGCAAAATAATGGCGGAAGTACCATCCTCCATGAGGCGGGCACTAACAATAGGACAGTTGTAGCTGCAGCGGAAATGCTACGAAGGGCTCCTATGTTGCTCAGTATGTCCAACAAGCAAGGAGAGACCGCTTTATTCTATGCAGCTCGACATGGCAAGACTAAGATCTTTAAGTTCCTACATGATCAAGTCACTAAAACAAATCAGGGACCCGATTTGAAAACCTTTCTTCTAAGAGATGATAGATCTACCATACTCCATCTAGCAATTCTTAGCAGAAACTACTGTAAGTATATATATATTTTTCATATTTCGATTTTGATTTAAATGGTTCTTATGTCGTGTATTTGTTTTTGCAGGGATGTGTCATGAGATATCAGTGAAGCATAAACATTTAATTCATGAAATGGATGAAGACGGGATGACACCTCTTCAACTTCTTTCCTGCCGTCCACTAGAACTCCCTCCACATAATTTCTTCGTGCGCATTATATACAACTGTATGATGATACTAACCATGCACTTCTATGCTATTCTTATGCTGTTGTGAAAAAGACTAATAAATTTTCCTACTTTTTGATGCTAGTAATTGATCCAAATGTTGAAGACACCAGTTGGATGTTGCCCCCCTTGAAGAAGTTGCGAAAACAGAAGTTCAAATGCGAATGGGCAATGAAACTAGTTAAGCTCTTGGTAAAAAAAGACACTTCATGGGAAAAAACTGCATCAAGGATAACAAAACATAAATCCAAATATCATGAATATGGAAAAACTTCATCCATAACACAAGAAGAAATCATAACTTATGAATCTGCTGCTCGTTTGCCGGATACTCCACTATTATTAGCAACGAAACATGGGTGCCCGCAGATCGTTGAGGAAATACTAACTTTGTACCCTCAGGCAATCGAACATATTGATCAAGATGGGCGTAACATTTTACATGTAGCAATCAAAAATCGTAACCATGAAATTTTTGATATGGTGGTCAATACGAGGTATGCAAAGGAGCGATTGAGAGGAAAGATCGATAACGATGCAAACACCTTGCTGCATATGGTTGCCGAAGAGGTAGAAGATGTGGATTCAGATTTAAAAGGTCCTGCGTACGTACTGCAAGATAATATGCGTATGTTTAAGGTCAGTTCATCGTTCTGATTAACATATATGCATGCATGCATTAATTGTGTTAATAATCAGATAAAACCAGAATCATATTCTAATAATTTTCGAAATATATTCTCTCATGGATTGTGCAGAAAGTAGAGAAAATATGTACAACCTTGGACAAAATGAAGTTGAACTCAAGATCCAAGACTGCTGAACAGGAGTTTAATGAGGGAAATGATAAACGTCGTAAGGAAGCCAAAGAATGGATGACCGAGAATGCAAAAAATTACACAGTTGTTGCAGTGCTGATTGCCACCGTTGCGTTTGCGGCAGCGTATACAGTACCCGGAGGTCCAAATCCAAAGACGGGTCAGCCAGTTCTTAAGGAAAAACCTTTGTTCTTCTTTTTTACAGTAGCAGATGCAATGTCTCTCTCAGCAGCTTTGACATCAGTTATCATGTTTCTCAACATCATCACATCATCATATCGATTTAAGGATTTCGAAAGATCTCTTGGTCGTAAGTTGAAAGCAGGGCTTGTGATGTTGACGATCTCAGTGGCGATGTTGATGCTTGCATTCGCGTCAACGCTCATTCTAACTGTCAGCAGTGGGAGGAAGTGGACGGACATCACCTTGTACGCCATTTCGTTCTTCCCGGTCCTTATTTTTGTATTTACGTCTTTTCGATTCCAGAAGATACGCTTTAGGGCGGTGTACTCGAAAGCCAAGGAAACGCTGGTTAATATGGTTTCTTGCATGACGAAACCAAAACCTGCAGTTTGGTATTCTGGACGTGGGGCTACTTCAGTGATTTAAGCTCATAACATATATATTATGATTTAATGTTGTAACTAGCGTATGGTTTGAATAATTTGCCATTGATCCTAAGGCGGCTTGATATAGCATATATATGCATGTATTTTGTGATATATATATATATATATATATATATATATATATATATATATACATATATATATATATATATTCCATTCTAATAACTTGAGTGGTCACTACTAGAAAACTGGTGCAATAGCTACAGCACAATCCGTAGCTATTCCGTAGCTATAAGCGGATAGCTACGGAATTGCTACGGAAAAATGTTTGTAGCATAATGGCCCGTGGGAAAATTATAGCTACGGATTAGCTACGGAATCGCTACAGAATAGCTACGAAATTTTCCGTAGCTACCATAGCTACGGAATAGCTACGGAAATAAATAGCTACGGATTTCCTACAAAATAACTACAGAATTAAATAGCTACGGAATAGCTACGGAACCAAATAGCTACGGAATAGCTACGGAATAGTTACGGAAATAAATAGCTACGGAAATCCGTAGCTATTCCGTAGCTAACTTTGTTTTATTTAAAAAAAAATTATTTAAAATTTTAAAATTTTCCAATTTTTTGTCAAATACCACATTCAACTCACAATTGTCCCAAACTAGGTAAAAGAAACAACTTAAAAACGTGAATTTATTAGCATAGATGCACCAACATTTATATAATGTTATAATTAATATAATGTTCTAAAACGGGCTGTTATTCTACTTAACTCTTCTCTCACTGAAGAGGCTGTTGCTGAGGTACTTAGTCTTAACAGTTCCCGTTTAATCTTGATAGCTTTGGAATCTGCTTACATCAACTCGTCTGTTGAGAGAGTGCATTCCCTTCGTGATTCTCTGCGAAGCATTTCAAAAGGTATCAGTATATACCAATAAATGAAAAAGTATAATCTACAATAGATGTTACTATGATGTTTTATGATTGAAACATATATGAATTGTAGTAGTATAATATGTGAGATATTAAACACTATTATTATACAACTTGGACATATAAATAAAAGATTAAATATCATATAATCATATATACAACCAATGGGAACATGCAAAGTTTCTGATATGTGCATATTATATATATGCATATTATAGAATCCAAGAATATTAGTACTTGAAGTTTTTAATTTATTTAAGAGAATGTTAAGATATACCTCAGTCTTTGATTCATAGAATGCTTGCTGCATGCTTTAATATATGTTAATATAAACCTGCAATAAATTTATAATAAAATTGCTTGGTAGATTGTAAAAAATAATAAACTATTGTAAAAAATAATGAACCATTGTATACTCACCTTCAAAATAAAAGAACATTAGTTTAGCACGGAGAAGCAGCTGCAAAAACTCATGGGCTAAAGGAAGAACCTGCCAAAATAACAACCTACTTTTATTCATTGTTTATTAATTATTCATAGATTACTGTCATTCTACAGCATCAAAAATTTAATATCAGTTGGAATGCCCCTAATGGCTACTTTTTCAAAACATATATACCCTAATTATTCTAAAGTTGTATTCAATAATGCCACGAACAAAAAAACCATGTAACATGCTAGCTAAAAAAGGATGTTAAACAAAGAGTTGTCAGTTTACCTTAATGTGTTCAAGACTTACCTAGTAGAGGAAGAATGGCCAAAGCTAACCGTTTAATTGAACTTCAAACATAGATTGTGTAGTGGTCAATAACAGAACATCTGTAACAAATAAAAAACAAATATTAGTAACAGAACATCAATTTTCTACAATGGGATGGGCCAAGGAAAGACAACGAGGTGGTTTGCTCAGCTCTAAAAAAATGAAAACTTTAACCAATGAATTAAGCTAAATTCAACCAAATTTTAACCTAATGAATTTAACCAAGCCATGATCAGCTTCACTAGTTACCAGAATTTTAATAAATTCAACCAAAATTTAACCTAAAACCTCAAATTCGACCTAAAATATAATCTAAAACCTCACATTCAACAAAGCAAATCAACCTTTTCAATGAATTAAGCATCTAAAGGTGTATACATGAAGTAATATTAAAAAAAAAAGGGTTTTACCTATCTTGGGGAAGAAATCGAGCAAGGAGGCGGTGAGATTAGGAGGGCAGATGCGCCGGCGAGATGGGGAGGGCAGATGGAGACGACGACCAGGACTGTCGGTTGGAAAAACGGAGAAGGAGGGTCGACGAACGCAGCTGCGTCTTCGTCGAACAAGGGGATGTGTTCGTCTGCGTCTTCGACTTCGTCTCCCTGCGGCGGCGACTGTTCTTCGCAGATGGAGGCAGCAAATCGACCGGACGAGCGGTGGTCGCGTTTGAGGAGCAGAGGACGGGAAAAATGGAGGAGACGACGGAAAAGGGAGAAGAAAGGAGGAGAAGTCGGGAGCACTGGAGCAGGAAATCGCGTTTTTGCCCTAAGATGAAGCTTTATTAAACGGAACCCTAAGATGAAGCTTTATTAAACGGAACAAAAAAAAGACGGGGCTAAAAAAAACTGGACTAAAAAAACTTGGGTGGGGTTTGAACTAGGGTTCCCCACATACACTGTCACAAGCTTAACCATCCAGCCGGGCATGCCACAACCGAATGTAATAGCCCCTTAGTGATTCTTATACAATAACTATTTTTCCTTTAATCTATTATTATTATTATTATTATTATTTCATACTGGGCATGCCACATACTGGTGGTTTCCTTTTAATTACGTTTGCAATTCATGTATGTATAACATATTTGTTTAGTGATTCTTATACAATAACTATTTTTCCTTTAATCTATTATTATTATTATTATTATTATTTCATACTGGGCATGCCACATACTGGTGGTTTCCTTTTAATTACGTTTGCAATTCATGTATGTATAACATATTTGTTAAAATGAAGTGTGCATGTTTTTGGCATGTGATTGTTAATTAGAAGTGAAATATGGAATGATCTAAAATGAATAGGATAAGACAACGCTTGGGAATCTGTATCATGGTATTTAATTCCTTACAAAACGAGAATAATATTTCTATAAAATATTAAAAAAAAATAAAAAAAAAATTAAAGATAACGAAAGGTAATCATTTGCTGTCTTTTGGTGAGTGAAGGAAAAGCGAACGTAACATTCAAAAAGTAAAAGATGAAAGGTGACCATACCCTTTGGTCTTATAGCTAAGTACATAAATACTATTGAAAGTTAATTCTAACTTAGTCCTTAGATGATCGAGAATAATAGGCTTTTGACATAGACAATGGATTTAACTCTATACAGTCAATGAATTGTCACATCATTATTTTATATTTTATATAATTCTATCAGTATTTTTTAAAATGCATTCAACTCTATACAATTTAATACAATACAAAAATTAATTTACAATATTTATTTAAAAATTAGAAACTTTCATTTTTTTCACAGCAATGGTTCAATATCATTGAACTTCAGATTCATTGAATGTCAAAAGTTATGTAAAAATGGTAGAGTTTCATTGAATGTCAAAAGTTATGTAAAAATGATAGAGTTTCATCCATTGAATGACAACTAAATTTGTCACCGCATTCAACTATCTCATTAAACTCACAATTGCAGATGTTCTTAGTGGCCGTTTTGACTGGTACACATGCATTAGCTCGCTTTTAGTTTAATTTGTTTTTTTCCAGCCTAGCAATAGTTGTACTTGTTTGTTTTTTTTTTAATCAAACAATAAGAGTAATATTTCCATATTGTGCTTAGCTGTGTTCTTCGATTGATCCTTGATATATAGGTTGTGTCCTACATTTTGTATCAGAGCTTGAAGGTTCATGTTCATGTGCAGACTATCCAAGATTCAAAAATATGTCAACATTGGCACAACATGGAACATATAACGGTGGTATTTCATTCCAATGCACATTGCCAACACTTACGAACTACACTACGTGTGCAATAAAGGTGGATGCCATAATGGACACTTAAGAGGTATGAGAGTCCATTGAACCACCAGTCGGTATTATTGTGGAAGATAAAGAATAAAAAGGCTCGATCTTTAATCTTTCAAGAAATACCATAAGATATCTTGCCAACAAGAAAATGGAAAAATACGTGTGAGAGTCATTAAAGATGCGTTACCTTGGTGCTCATTGAGTGTAGAAGACAAGATTACAGAAGTTGAAAAGCAATTCCGTTGGCCTTCATATGAAGGACAAAAAGCCCATAAATGAGTTTACATATTGGACGTCATGTTGACTTTTGTCATATTGACTTTTTGTTCGTTAAAGTTCGTTATGGTGGGTCTGTTAGAGTTAGTTACTCAGGGCAGTTAGAAGATGGTTTAATCACAGTTAATTAACTTAACTAGCATTAGTTAGCTGTTAGATAATGAGTTAGTAGTTAGTTAAGTCTTTCTTGTATATAAGTCTTGTACTCTGTATTCATTGAGAAGTAATTTTCAATACATTGAACATTTTGGTTCTTCTCTCTTGTTTTACTCTGATAATATGGTATCAGAGCAGTTTTTCCTCTTTGCTTCCGCATTCATCAATGATTCTTCAAAAAAAAAATCGTGATTCATACTCTGTTTTTCATCTCTTTTCTTGTGATTTTTGAGATTTGATCATGTCTGATTCAATTCCTTTGGTTTCTACACCTAGTTCTTCATAAAGTGGTGTTGGATCATCTGATGATCTGTATTACATTCATCATTCTGATAACCCTGGTGCATTGCTTGTTAATCAAGTTCTCACAGGGGACAATTATGCCTCTTGGTCACGATCGATGACAATTGCTTTATCCGTGAAGAACAAACTTGATTTTGTTACTGGAGATCTACCACGACCTTTGCCTGCTGAAGTTAATCGCTTAAAGTTATGGAATCGAAATAACAACATTGTTATTTCCTGGATCTTGAATTTAATATCAAAAGAGATCTCTGCTTCTGTCATATATTTGACTACTGCTTCTGCTATCTGGAAGGAACTCAATGAATGTTTTCAGCAAAGCAATGGTCCGCGTATCTTTCAAATTAAGCGTGATATGATAAATCTCACCCAAGGAGATGATTCAGTAAGCACTTACTCCCTCCATCCCAAAATTATAGTCCATCTTTCCTTTTTGGTTTGTCCTAAAATAATAGTCCACTTCTAAAAATAAATAACATTTTTACCAAAATACCCCCTCATTATTACTTGACCAACTAAGCATTTAATGGAATATTAAATGCAAAGTAAGGACAAAACTGTCATTTTATTGTATAAAGTTAGTGGTAATTAATGCTTCCTTAATCTGTGTGTTTTTTGTCTGTGGACAATAATTTTGGGACGGAGGGAGTATTTCACTAAATTGAAGGTTCTATAGGAAGAATTGTCTAATTTTGAAGTTCATTGCACCCGTGGTTTGTGTACTTGTGGAGGAACGAAGGATGTCGAACACACTATGATGTTCTTGATGGGATTACATGAGAAGTATGCTCAAATTAGGGGACAAATTCTCCTAATGGATCTAATTCCCACTGTTAATTGGATTTTTTCTCTATTGATTCAAGAAGAAAGTCAAAGAGAGATAAGTATTCCTTCCATCAATAATTCTCCCATTGCTTTCAATATTCAAAGTAACTCAAATTCAAATCAAAGGTTTAAATCATTTTCAAAGAATCGATCATCTCCAGTTTTTTCTCATTGCAAAAGATCTGGTCACACTGTTGACAAATGTTATAAACTCCATGGTTTTCCACCTGATTATCATTCTAATCAAGGCAATCCACGTGCTAATGTTGTTTCTGATCAAGCTTCTGTTCCAATCAACAATGCCAAGGAGGATAATACAAGTGATTCCATTACTAATCTTACCACACAACAATGTCAACAATTAATAGCAGTTCTTACAGGTCAACTTGCTTCTATTAACTCTAATACTGCTGCTGATGACAAATAATCAGGTACTCATTATGTTCTTACTTGTGAGTCTGGAAATTACCAATCTAAGATTTGGATTTTAAACACTGGAGCAACTAGACATGTGTGTAATAATAAAAAGGTTTTCATAAACCTCAAACGAATCTTTGGAACCAAAGTTCGCTTACCAAATCATATGCTCATACAAGTAGAATATATGGGAAATATTAAGATCAATGAGCATATTGTTCTTCAAAATGTTTTATATGTTCCTCAATTTGAGTTGAACTTGAACTCTGTGTCCATGTTAGTTGCAAACAAGATGATTAAAGCATCATTTTATCACAATCGTGCTATTATGAAACAGATTTCAACCAAGAAGCAGATTGGCACTACTAGGGTTGAAAGTGGACTCTATTTGCTTGAAGATATGATTGAAGAAGTTCATGTTCATGTTGTGTATCTTCAACATTGGCATCAAAGACTTGGCCATCCTGCAAATGAGAAACTCAAGTTCATTGATAGTTGTTTGTTTTCAAATAAAGATTTGAATAAACATGTTTGTATTGTGTGTCCTTTGGCTAAACAAAAGAGATTGAAATTTGTCTCTCTTAATCATGTGGCTGATAAACCTTTTGATCTAATTCACTGTGATATATGGGGTCCTTATCATGTATCTGATTATAAAGGTTTCAAATATTTTGCTACAATTGTGGATGATTGTACAAGATTCACATGGACATACTTTCTTAAGCATAAATCTGAAGTACAATGAATTATTCCAAAGTTTTTTGCAATGGTGTCAACAGAGTTTAATAACAAAATCAAAGTGTTCAGATCTGATAATGCTAAAGAATTAGCATTCACAGAATTTTTCAACAAGGAAGGAGTCATTCATCAATTTTCATGTGTTGAGAGGCCTCAACAGAACTCAGTAGTGGAAAGAAAACATCAACATATTCTTAATGTTGCTAGAGCTATTTTCTTTCAATCTAAAGTTCTTACTTCTTTTTGGTCTGAATGTCTTTCTTGTGCCACTTTTCTCATTAATCGAACACCATCTAAACTTCTCAAATTCCTTACTCCATATGAGAAATTACATAAATGCCCTCCTGATTTTTCAAGGTTTAGATCTTTTGGCTGTTTGGCTTTTGCTTCAACCTTACCTAGTTCTAGAAATAAATTCACACCAAGGGCAAGATGTTGTGTCTTTATTGGTTATCCTATGGGCATGAAGGCTTATAAGTTGATGGATATTGAAACAAAAGAAAATTTTGTTTCCAGAGATGATACATTCCAGGAGGATATTTTTCCTTTTACGCATTCATCAAAGAATCTTTCTCACAATCCTTTTGATTCCATAGTTATTCCCAATTCCTATAATATAGATGATTCTTTTCAAACAGATCAAGATTCTTCTAGTTCTTCTCATGTTTCTTCATTACCTCCACATCCTCAGTCATCTTCACCTAATTCATCATCACAATCTTCTGAACCATCACAACAGCCTACAAGACCAATTCAGGCACGTAGACCACCATCTTACCTCCAAGATTATCATTGCAATCTTATCAATAACATCATTGTGGAAAATGGATCAAAATACCCTTTATCGGATGTTGTGTCTTATTCCAATTTATCACCACAATAAAGGGCTTACACTCTTGCTATCTCTTCAGAAATTGAGCCCAAGAATTACAAAGAAGCTTCTCAATATTAT